AGAGAGATAAACCTATTAAAACAACAACATTTTTTAATACCACAATAACACTAATACTAAATGCAATATTATTTATTTAGTTAAGTACGTAAATTATCAAAATATTCAAGTAAATATTACAAATATTTATGTTGAAATAGCGTGCACATGATTTCTATTGTAACATACTAAAATTATAATAATAACTATAGTATAATAATATAATATAATAAAATGGTGGATATATGTATGTATATCCTTCAGTGAAGAAGTTTATTAAAGCAAATCTTATAGAAACGTTTCTCTAATTTCAGTAGCTAAGAAAGAAAAAATCAGAAGTCAGTCATTTTGATTGGTTTGATATTTCTAGTGTATGTTTAATGTCTACACATCCGTGTGTGTGTAGACATTCTATTCGGATAATAAAATATTCAGATAACAGAAGGTTCTGTTATTAGAATATTTGAATATTGTGTCCTCTATTGTAGTTGATGAATATTGAAATACATAGTTCTACGTTGCAATACGGCTTATACAACTTCTGGAAACTCTAAAACGTGTTCACGAGGAATCGCGCGCAAGCGCTGGTGCGTTTTGAGTGATCGTGGAAGGAAGGAGAGCTGGTCACTCGTGTCGCTCCTTTTAAGGCGCGGAGCGGCTGTACAGGTATACTGTCAATTAACAATGAGAACGACAAAACGAGGGAGGTTCGATACCTGCCACGAGATGAAGTTTCTCGCGATACTTCATTCTCAGCGAACCATACTCTGTTCGCGAAACTATTATCGTATGCACCGCTGGTTTCCTTGCGCATACGTATCAGTGAAAATCTTCGCTGCTGTAACTTCAGAATTGTATTCTATCATATTGTGTTTTCATCTGCTTTTGAACGGAATGATAGATATGTTTAAATATGTAAATTTTTCATTTATATTTCTGTCAGTTTATATTTCTGGAAGTTTCATCACTCGTTTCTTATTTCTCAGTTATGTCGTAACCCTTTTTAAAATGTAATTTTTATCATGGTACGCATATGTAAACATTACAAGACGGAAACTGCTTGCATTAATTGCAAGATGAAGGAGGTTGTACTTCGACATTTATCTTTTGTCTTAATAATTTTAATCACTTGAAAATAATACAACAGTATTCTTAAATTCTTGGAATAGTTTTACTTATTTCAAGTAAATTTTAAACTATATTTAAAATTAAGTAAAATTAGTTAAACCATATTTGATTAAATTTAAGCTACAGTTGTTTTCAATAATTAATTCCAAATTTATTCCTGAATAAACTGAAATTTAATGGGAGAGCGGGTTATAGCAATAGTTGTATAACAATATAATCTAAAATCAATGGATTCTTTTTACAATGTTTCTTTAAATTACTCAGTCAAGAATGAATCTTTAAACATTAACAACAAAGAAGTTGTAAAACTGCTGTAATCCTTTGAGTTGCAAATTTGAAATGAAAAGAACAATTGAAAAGCGCATAGAATTTTCATGAAAAATTTACGCATGTGCAAGAGACCATAATGAAGAGGAAGCGATAACGTCATCATACAGAGAAAATTTCTGAACCGGCCGACTCTGCATGTCAGTGATGCAGCGGTGTCTGCGTTGTTTGCGGTAACATGCGGCACACAACCATACCCATATTAGGGCTGCGTATAACAGAAGATTGACCCGATTTCTCCGTCCCTCTGTTGTATCCCCAATGAGAAAATAAGGAAGACGAAAAATGTGAATGGCGATTGAAGCAAAGAAAGAACACGTGACATTGAGACCCAAGGATGACCATTGTCGTCGGGTCACTGGGTGATGGTCATTCATCAGAAACCTGAATTTCGAGAGTAAACTTATTTCAAGCTGAGACGAACGTAGTTCCGCTGTACGCTGCATTAGTACAGAAGCGATGCAGTCAATACGATACAATGACGGTCACTGCATTCAATAATTATTAAAAAAACTAATTTATGATTTCTAGATAGGCGCCCATGAGCAATGAAAAATACAAATAAAAATTAACACGCCAAATTGAAGCGCCACCGATTAGAATCGAATATGTGAAATATGTCTGAAAGGAAACATAAGTTTTTATTGATTTTATGTCAAATTATTTATGTCAAACACTTTTAATTAAATGTGATTTACTGAGTTTTATTATTTATTCTTATTAAATATAATAGATATTTCTGAAATTAAATATAACATTATTAAAATATTATTAATATATTGTCATAATATTATACACTATAACAGATACAGTTTTATGAGTTTTTTAAGTCATAGACTACAATTTATTATTATTTGTACTGTCATATAATGTAATACACCCACATAATAGACCTAGTTATATACGTTTTTTGGATTCATAGAATTTTAAATTGATGAAGAATTCTGCAATCCACAAAACATATAAAACATTTTCTTTCATAATGAATAGTGCACAAATAATAATGATATGAATTAATTTCGCGTTTTGACGATTTTAGCTCATTTTGCACCGTTCTGTGTCGACGCTTTCACACTTTCCATTTCACTAGTTTCAGGAAATGTTCGCTTGTCGGTAGAACAAATTATAAAATTAATTTCCATTTTATATTTCACAGATTCCTGGACAGCCCCCGACAATGCTTTAACCAACAGCAGCTCGGCCTTGATGTAAGTGCTCTCCAAAATATCACGCGTATTTGGTTCATTGCCAAGAAAGCCTCGTTTCTTCTTCGAATGCATCCTGTTACGCAGGATTTACAATGGAAGACGTCAACGATGCAATCGATTGCCAAATTGTTCTTAATCTATCAACTAGGTAGTTTAGCGAACATAAACACCTTTATTATTTAATTAACTGTCACGAAACGACAAGCTTCTATATGATGTGCTTTATACCATTATGGCAATAAATTGAGATAATTACAGTGATTGAAGTAATTACTGCGCCTGTAATTAAGTTGCAATAATCATCTTCATGGCTATAATATTTTATTAAATGCAATTTATATTTTTATTAATATAATGCAATTTATATTTTATTAATTATATTTATCCTTTTGCAAAACGAAGTAACTGTTTTGTAGATCATGTTCACTTGATTCGTTTGAAAATGAGATTCGCCCATTTGTAAATTAAATTAACTTAATCATGATTATCTGTAACAAAGTTCATATCAATTTAAAAATTGAATAAAAGATGAGCAATTTTGATCTGTGGGAAGATTCATTTTATTTGTGAAAAGGTGAATTTGATTTCCAACAAGATGCATAAATAATTAATATGATCTACAAAACGATTCATTTGAAAGTGCAACAAGATGGAGATGATCTAGAAAAGGATCAATTTTTACAGCAAAGTCTGTATCACATTGAAAACTTGTATTACTTGTTAAACATTTTCATTCTACGTTACAGCGACGATATTCGGGAAAGGACTTACGAAGAGACTTCATTGCACCGTGATGTGGAGCCCATAGATAAATCTGTCAGCAGAGAGCTAGTGAGTGCTCAAATTAACCAAAACACTGCGAATTCTATAAAGCCCCAGAAATTATAGCCACTTACGCTGATACAATATTTGTGATCCAGGTATACAACGATGGATACACATCCCGAATGAAACGAACTTCCCCCTTACCGCGCCACGGTACTCACAAGGAAGTGAAGTACGTCAATGAGTCTTCGAGTGAGTGTCTTCAACAACAGAAAGACTCTAATCTCTGAATTTCGCGATCCAACGGTAAACTGTGCATTTGTTAAAGGCTACCAAACGGAACCAGTGGAGTACGTCCCGGTTCCATCGCCGTCACCAGCTATACCTATCAACCTGGCACCAGGTCCCAATACGAAAGTCACAACCACAATCAAGACGTACACGTACGAGCTGCCAGGAGCACCTGAATCGTACCTTCCAGGTGGCAACGTGCCAGGACCCGTTGTGCTCCCGGGCGACCAGACCATTACGTACACGTTACCGAAAGGCAGCAGCTCAGCAACCGACAAAATGGTCACCTACCAAACCATAACCGAGAACGTACCGCCTAGAACACCGGTTAGGTATGGCAGTCCAACGCCAGTCGTGGACATCACGAAAAGGTCCGCAACCTTGCACCAGGAGAAATTCTTCCGCGAAGAACATCTGGAAGGCTCGCCCGGTCAACCGACAACAGTCGTCTATCGCCCCGGCTCTCCAGAAAATAAAACAACGATCACGCGAAACGAAAGATACTACGCGGTCGATGGTACCTACCCCAATGGCTACAGGCCTGGCGATCGACCGGATTATCCGGACAGTACCATAATCAGTGTAAATCAGCCGCAAACGATCAACGAGAGTCACACCACCATCAATCGGATCGAGGAACACTATCCTAGCAGGTCACCCTCCAGCGGACGATACCCGACACCTGATAAACCGGGAACACCGGTTAATTATTACACCTCACCGCCACAAACCACCCCGCCGCAGTCCAGTACGACGATATATAAATTCGCGAACACGACCACGACCATCCCACCGCACAAGAATGCCGAGGATCATGAGGTCTTGTTACCGAAACCGTTTCCAACCAACGGAGTTCAGGTTTGCCCCTCGAAACCTACCAACGCAGAACAGTGCCCGCCGAAAAAGTTGGAAGAACTTATGGCGTCGTTCTCGGACACTGAGGTAACATCTTCAAAAACATTGTATTGGGTTGGGGCGCGTGAAACGTATGTTCATTCGTGAAAAATCCTTTTCCCTTTTTTCACTTCAATGTTTAACCTTTTCTATATAACGAGTCAGAGTCGCGACGAAGACTTGGAACATAACTGATTACATATGTATGTTATTAATTTCTTCTAAATCGAAACAAAATTAGATTCTTTTGTTATTAAAATCTAGGGATGAAAGTTCTAACCAATTGATCTGTGGAAGAAATCATATTACAAGGAATTAATACAAAAAATCGGTCACAATGACCAGTTTCACATTTCCTATTTGAAAACAAATTTCTTAATTCAAGCTTAGATTATAATATAAATGCTGGACAATCTGCGCAAATTCAATATTCTCATTCTTATGAAGCAATACGCATTAGTTACTTTCATTTTTCGGTTGGTTTAACACCAATGTTAACGTCGTATCGACTGTTTGGTTGTTAGTAGTATTATTTAATAATTTTAGTAAATTGAAAATAATATATTGACATTCTTAAATTTTTTTAATCTTCTTACTATTGTGACCTTCACTTACTCAATTCTGCCATAAATGCATAAAATTCCCTTTTTAATTAGCTACTTTTTAGGCTGAAGATTATATTTATGTATATGTAGATACATGCAGCTTGGTATTCAAAAGTTTAGAATGTTTTCAATTTGGTACTCAGACGTCAAGTCTGAATTTATATTTCATTCTTTCATTTTGGTATTTCCTGTATTCAAGTAATAGGTGATTGGTTACATTAATTACAGAAGGGCGGCTCCTTCTTTATGAATAGATGTTTGCGTATTATTTTGTAGTGTCCTGATCTTAGTTTTGTCATAATTATTCTCTCCTTTTCAGTTATGTTGTGGGTTGGCATTTGTTGGATGTAAAATGTTCTACATTTTAACCAATTCTTAACTTACGTGGTATTTAATATAAAGTATTGTAATAGAATAAAAAAAAAAAAAAAAAAAAAAAGAAGTTTATTAAAATTGAAAAATT